GGGGGGGGGAATTAGGCTTACTTTTTTAGTAAGTCAATTATATCAGATTTAATATTTTTAAACAACTAAACTACTGCAGCTAAGGGCACTTTCAATTTTCATTAAGATTTCTAACCAAAGACTGTTTTTTTTCTTAAATTAACAACTATTGCATTAGGAGTGAAATATTGGTTTTATTGATTTAAAAACTGTTTAAGATATAATGAAATAAGTGTTCAAAAAAACAATTTTAAAACAAATTACACTTCCATTTATTTTGAATAATTTATACAATCGAAATTACTAAATCTATTAGAGGTACTAAATAAAAATTGGTAAGCCACAGTGAATAGAAATGTTTTGAGTTTTTAAAATATCAAACAATACTATTAGATTATCAACTAGTTATGAAATATTCATTAATATAGTCTAAGAGTTCAAACTATAAATTCAGGAAAATGCCTTCCTTTACAGCCCTTGATGTCATCACAGAAAATCTATTTTAATAAGAGGCAAGATGGTATTCAATTGCTAAGAAAAAGTAAAACAAACAAAAAAAAACTATATAAATTTTATTTCAAAAACAGCACACTTTTTATAAATGTGTCTTCCAAGTCAGACATATGTATGAACATTTTTCTATCACAGGATTTATGTAGTGCTCAATATATAAAATTATAGAAAATAAGATATCTGCATAAAATGGTATAGGCAAGAACAACAAAGTGTTTAGAAGGTTTACTGTCCTGTTTCCTTTTATCTTAATTTCAAGGCTTTAGAATCTTCTATTTATTTAAACCAAGTGACTATGGTAGTACTATCATTTTAAACTGATGGTATTTTTCTACTAGACACACACACACACACACACACACACACACACACACACACTTAAATTGGAAAACAGGTATAAATATACCAACTGGTTTATATAAAGAAAAAATGATTAAAGATTATCAGCTAATATACAAAATACAAAAAAATACATAAGCCTACAGAAGTTCAAGGAATTATGTTTTTAAAATCATCCTGAAAGTAAGGGGCCCTTTTATCCCTTTCAGGCAGAAATCTCTTAACAGAAATTAGACAAGAACAAAGGAAAATAGACTCCATGTTCTTTCAGATGCCTGGGTGCCCATCATCAATTATTCTTAACAGTGCTTGAAGAATTTTTATTTGAGGCAAAAGAGTTACTCTAGTCTATCCAAATAAGTGAAGTAGGAATCTCCCTAACCTTTTTCTTTTTTAAAATTAATTTTTAGCTGGTATATCTTACAAGGAAAACAAGTTAAGTGCCTTTTTAATGAGGAGTCTTACTTTTTAAAAAGTTTAAAAATCATCTACTGAAAATGGATTTCACAAATCTTATTATGTGTTTAACACACACGCACACAGTGACCATGCTACTTTCGGTTCCTATAATTTATTTTCCAGGTCTTTCACAATGTTCTCAGAATTAAAATTACATTTATACATTAAACCATCCATGAACATTTACTTAAATTGAACTAATGTGAAGTCTGCACAATTGTTTTCATTACAAGAAACCAACAGTAGAAGAATATGCAGTCTGAGGGAAGTATTTTCTTGATGTTTTTCCTTGCCAGTGTAATGAAAACAGACTCAGGAAATCATTGTATTAGTATTTGTACTAATGTAAAATATTTTACAACAGCAAAATAACTTGTGTTTAGATTACATAAACACAATCAAATTTTGTTGTTTTTATTTTAAATTTATTTTACTTTAAAACCATATATTCAAAACTTACTGGTATGGCTTTACAGGCTTTATTAACATAATTTTATTGAAAATATCAACTTTTATTGCCTAAAATGTTCTACATGTTAAATGTAATGTCCTTTTCCTTGTTTGTTGCTCTGTAGTTCTAAAAGTTCTTTATTTTTTTAACAAGATTCCGGACTTTTTTATTATTTGCATAGTTTGACAGCTCTTATCATGTTGATCTTAAAGTAACATCGTCTAGGCATTAAAATGTTTTATATTTCCACCTGCTTTAAAAAAGAGAGAATTGTACTACAGGTATGTTATTTGACAATAAACCAACCTTAAATACACACACACCAAAAAGTCCCTCTTTTACGAAAGTTTAAAAGAATAATTTCAAATAAAAATTGCTATTGTTATTAGGCCATCAAATAAGCCCAAAAAAGCGTGCACCAATAATAAACAACAATATTTTAAAGAAAAAGTTTAACAAATTAGTATGTTACGTATTTGATATTCAAGTTAAACATAAAAGAAAATTATTATTTCATTTTAATGGCTTTGGTGTATTTGTGGGAACAATGTAGTTAAGTTCAATTTGAATACTTCCTCAATTGTCATTTATCATAAAAAAAAAAATCTGTACAAAACCAAATTCCTTTTAATAGTTTCATTTCTCTGGATTCACATTTCACAATGTTTATCTATTTCACAATTTAAGTGCCCGAGAGGAAAGTTTCATTCGCTAGCTGTACTTAAATAAGCAACAAGCATTTACAATTAGTAATCATATATCACCTTCTACTTTTTAAAAATAAATAAACAAAATACAAGTAAATAAAATTATCTTTTCCACTCCCACCAATAGTGATTATGTATGTAACTGATCATGTTTCTTCTAAAAGTAAGAATGAGAGACACTAGGAACATTTCCAAATGACTGTAAGACAGATGAAGAAAAGTTACAATAAGTCCTTAACACTGAGATTTCAAGGATTAATAATAATGATACAACTACACAAAGTCTTCAAGTATGAATATTTCTGCACTACTTTTGCTTCACATTTCTTTCTCCTAAGAAATATATTTGTGATTAAGAGAGAAGAGAAACTGTACAATTAATTATAATTAACTTGTAAAATATTAATCTTTGAATCTAAAGATGTCAACTTGGATCTAAATATATGAAATAAATACATTTACTTTCAAATAGCAACAGTAATCTGTTTCATTTTCATGATAAATGACCACACGAAATTTCAAGGTCTCTTGAAAAGTAACTGAAAATCCATATACATATTAAATGAATGCAGTATTACTGGAGATGATAAATATGTATTTGGTTAATAGCTTATGTTAGTTTGAATTGACCTATTATCATCAATGTAAATATTCAGGAATTTAATACATTATCTGCCTTCTTAACCCATTA